CCCTGCTCCTAAGACTGGAAGTCTCTAGTACTGCTCCATTTAACTCTCCCTCCCATCCCTACTACAGACAGCCAGTTTAAATATTCATTACCACACACAGCCAATTGCTAAGTGGCCTTAAAAATGATCTCACCTTTCCTATGTTTTTCCCCAGGCTCTCTCAAGGAATCTTCTCATTTGCACTGTGCACCAGGCTTCAAAACTTTCCCAAAGTAACCCCTACTCAAACAAACGGTCTTTTCCATTTGGACTGTTCAGTGGGTTTTTCTTTCCTTTTCTTGAGACAGAGCCTTACTATGTAGCTCTGTAGAACTTGCTATGGTAGACCAGGCTGGCCTTAAGAGATCTACTTGGCTCTGCCCTTCAAGAGCTACCAACACCAAGTTCAATTTGGATTTAATCAAGTCCCAAATGCTTCCAACCAGAGTTCCTTTCATTCAGCTACTCCAAAATCACACCTCCACATTCCAAACCTAATTTGCACTGAACTGAACATGCACATCAGAGTGCCTTTTCAACTCTATGTTCTGTTTCTCAACCACAGCAACCAGTTTTTCTTTAAAGGAGTATTTCTGAAATATCTGTTTTTTCCATCCCCTCCAAAGCTTATTCTTAACACCACAGAGACCAGCCATGGTGTCTGTACCTATATTACCAACTCTGGGGAAGCAGAGGCAGGTGGAAAGGAGTCTGCCTTATTCTTAGTAGGCAAAGGTACTTTCTGTCACGCCTCATGACCTGAGCTGGACCCGAGGGACACCCATGGTAGAAAGGAGAACCGATTCCCTCAGGCTGTACTAGAACCTTGATACATGCATGATGGATATGCATGCATGCACAAAATAATTAAAGGTAATTAAAAAAAATACAAGTAATGTTGATTCTGGTAGCCAATTAATTAGAAACAAAATTAACTCAAATTGGGAGACTACCACCAATCTAACATACAAAAGTCTCCTTTCAATGTCAACAAGATTCAGGCAACTTTATAGGTGAAATGAAACAAGGCACACTTCAAGAATGCAATGTGAGGTTCCTCACAGCAGCCCACTGTATTACCTATAATCTGCAAATCCTTTTCTTGTACAAAGCTCAAAATACATCTATAATTTGAAGCAAGATAGAACAGAGGTACGCTTAAGGAAGAGGAAAAGCTAATGGCTTCTTGAAGACAGTGAACCTATCTTTCTAAAGTAAAAACAACTATTCAAACTACCTTATCCAGCGTGTAGTTGAAGCATCACTGACAGTCCTTAGGTAGAGCAGTTGATGCTGGCAGCAGACAACCAAAAATCAGAGACTGGGAAAGCCCCATTCCCCCCTCTGCCAAAACAGGACGCAAAATAGGGATGGTTTTCCTAATCTCCTCTCCTCCACCGTTTTACTGGCAGCCTCAATACTAGAATTCTAGCAATTTCTGTCTTCAGAAACCTTATAGTATAAACCAAATCCACCTGAGTTTAGAAACACTCCAGTATGTGCATCTGAGAATGATGAAAACCAATTTTGGTATGGACAAGAGAAGGGACAGACTTTGGACAAGATGCTCGATTTCAAACTTTGGTACCGTTTTACATATATTAGCCATGCCACATCATACACACACACACACACACACACACACACACACACACACACACAGAGCATCTATCTACCCCAGCTGGGTTTGTGAGATTAGAAAGAGAAGGCACATGAAAGTATCCTAGATAGATAGCACGTAGTAGCAGTTCAGTAAATATTGAAACAGCAGCCTCTAATTTTATCACACTCACGCAGCACTTGGCCTTCTGCCAAGTACTCATCTGAAAGTCAAAATCCTGCTATCGAGCAGGTGCTCAACACAGCCAAGGGGTTGCTAATAAACAATACCCTTTCCTTTTTATCTGTGGCAGTAATTAAATTTTAACAGGTCAAATGTTACAGACGATTACTATGTGGTCAAATAGCATATTTTCCTAATTCCTGTCCTCTTTTCAGGGCTGGAGAAATGGCTCGCAGAGGAGAGAACACTTATGCTCTCCGAGGACCCAGGTTTGGTTTCTCAGCACACACACCAGGCAGCCTCTAACTCCAGTTCCAGGTATCCAACACACTGCTCTGGCCTCTTAAGGTCTAGCACAAACGTGGGGCACTGACATGCAGGCACCCAACAGACACATGAAATGATCTCTGAATAACAAATGTTGCATTTTCTGTCTCTGCTAACCAAAGACCAAACGAACCGCTTACCTTCATCATCATCATCCCGCTCTTTCTCATCCAAGGCTTGTCTTTCCAGCTGTCCTGCTACCTCCTCTACGGAAGCTCCTGATTCTTTCTCAGGTTCTTGTTGCACTGCTGTTCAAACAAAACAGGACAAATGTAACAAAGGACTTACCACAGCTGGACATACTCTAATGATCCCGCACAGTTCATAAGTCCCTTCACAATAAGTGGCGCAGGACACAAACTGAAACGCTATTACTATAAACTGTTAAACACGACCTTCCACACCTAAGTAGTGCTGTCCACGCAATTCACCCTAGAAAATTCTCCATTACACATGACAGCACCTACAGGATACATGGAAATGTAAGTTGGTCCCTATTCCTATGCAGTTTAACCTTAAAGGATATTTAAGAATTAGATGGCAATAAGTATTTTAATTACTAAATAGATATTTAAAATAGGCAATTATGCTGAAGGCCTCAGGAAGAGGATTTATTACACATCAACTGGGCAAAAATCAAAATAAATAGGAAAAGACAGTCCATTACTAAAATACAAGTTCTTAAACATCTAAGCAGGCCTGAAGTAATTACAATCCGGCTGCAGTAGCAATATGTCTACATAGATAAACACACTCTAGCACATTCTGGTTACTGAAAGAGGATTCCCATTGAGAGAGCCAACTATTAAAAAATATTAGTAAGCCGGGCGGTGGTGGTGCATGCCTTTGATCCCAGCACTCGGGAGACAGAGCTAGTAGGATCTCTGTGAGTTCGAGGCTAGCCTGGTCTACAGAGCGAGATCCAGGAAAGGCGAAAAACTACAGAGAAACCCTAATCCTGTCTCGGGGAAAAAACAAAAAACAAAAAACAAAAGTATTAGGAACAGGCAGGAGGATCTCTGTGAATTGGGGGCCAGCCCTGTCCACTGGTGTTGGCGTGGAGTTCCAGAAGAGCCAGGGCTACATAGTGAAACCCTCTCAAAAAGCTGAAAACCGCTGGGCAGTGGTGGCCCACGCCTTTAATCCCAGCACTCCAGAGGCAGAGGCAGGCGGATCTCTGTGAGTTCGAGGCCAGCCTGGTCTACAGAGCGAGTTCCACGACAGCCAAGGCTACACACACTGAGAAACCCTGCCTCAAAAAACAAACAAACCCTAAAAACCAAGGGTACAACTCTTACACTATCACTCCCATCCATCCACCAAATTTCTGAAATGTGCTAAGTCCTTTCCAACTTTCCTTAATTCAAACCCCATTTTTTCCCCTCTCATTCCTTATCTGAGCAATCTTAAATGCCAGCAGGTGAAAACAATTCTGTACCGAAACGAAGGCGCTTGTGCAACAAAAACTTCTCAAGATCAAACACGTTCCTCGTTAACATGGTCCAGCTGTAAACGTGCCGCTTGTTTTCCTCGCCTTGCCCGGGTTTTAGGTTATCGCCGGTTGAGGAAACCCAACCATACCACCGAATCCTCGGTCTACGCGGCAGGCAAGTTGCATCAAAGGCCCCCAAACCCTACCGCTGGACCCCGCTGTGAGATGAAGCACGTGAAAACTCGCACCACCCCGCCAACTGTCAGTGCCACGAGTTGGCCCGTAAAGACACCACACACTCGTAGACACACACACCCCAAATCTGCAGTCCACAGTCTAAAGGCCCCGGTGCAAATGCGGACGAGGCGTGCGGAGGGCGTCCAGTCCCGGCAATGTGTGCTCGCCCACCCCGGCCCCGGCCTCGACGAAAATAGGTGTCGGTCCAGCCAGGAGGCCGCGGACCACGGTCCAGACGGGGCTTTTTTTTTTCTTTCGAGGCGGCGCCCCAACCGCGTGGGAAGATGGTGGAGCCGAACCCCGTGCACGTTTCAGGTCCGTGGCGCGGACTGCGTGGGAGCTGAGTTCGCGCTCCGTGACCCTAAGCGCTACCCACTCGGGGAGCGGAGGCAACTCGCCGCCTCCTCCTCCTCCTTCTCTCCGCCCCCCATCCCCATCCCCATCCCCATCCCCGAGCCGCCGCGGCACGGGAGGAAGCCGGCCACGCCACTCCGCCAAGGCCTGGCGATTTAACCAGGGCCCAGGGTTCCCGGGCTCCGGGGCTCCCGGCCCCGGGATCACCCGAGCCGGGCCCGAGCCGAGTCGCTCCGCTCGGCCATTCCTGGCAGGGCCGGGCGAAAACATGACTCCCTTACCTGACACGGCCCCTTTGCCCTTCTTCTTCTTCCGTCTTTTCTTCTTGGCGGCCTCCTCGGCCGTGCTGGAGGTCCCCTCTTCCCGGTCGTCCGGGTCGAGGTCGCCGTTCAGGTGGCTCCCGAAGGACGCTGCCTCCTCCTCCTCCACGGCCGCCATGTTGCCCGAGAGAGAGCGAGAGAGGGAGCGGGAGCGAGGGAGGGAGCGGGAGGCTGAGGACCCGCTCCTTCTTCACCCACCTCCACCAGCGACGCCGGAAGCCGCTCTCGATGGTCCGCGGCGCGGGGAATGCTGGGACGGCGGAGGACTCGGCCCGCACGCGGCCGGAGCCCCGCCCCCGATCCCGGCCCGGCTCAGCCCCGCCCCCTCGTCCGGTTCGGCTCAGTCCGGCCCGGCTCAGCCCCGCCCCCTCGTCCGGTTCGGCTCAGTCCGGCCCGGCTCAGCCCCGCCCCCGACCTGACACCCAGGGCGTCCTCCTCCGTGCGCATCTCCCGGGCCTGGCCGAGGACCTCCGCCGCGGGGCGCGCCCGAGCTGCTCCCCAGCACGAGGAATTTAAGGTCCCCGGTTTTTCAAAGTCCTACAGGAAGCGACGAGAGGGCGGGGGGAGGTAAAAAAAAATGTGTATGTTTATTATACACATCCCTGATGACTGCGTTACATCTGATGACTCAAAGACCGCGTTAAATTCGCTGTCACAGTTGACGAAGACGCTGTCGAGAAGCTTGGGGTAATCTTGGCAGCCGGGATTCCGCCTTTCTTGTACTGTACTCCCAACCTCGCGAGATTCAAGATAGGATCCTCTCTTGGGGGCGATAATCCCTTTAATCCCAGCACTCAAGAGGCAGACGCAGGAGAATCCCTGTGAGCTCCAGGCCAAGCTGGTCTTCATAGTGAGCTCCAGGATTATATAGAGAGACCCTATTTATTTATTTATATTTATTTATTTATTTAGTTAGTTAGTTAGTTAGTTTTTAGAGACAGGGTTTCTCTGTTGTAGTTTTGGAACCTGTCCTGGAACTCACTCTGTAGCCCAGGCTGGCCTTGAACTCACAGAGATCCGCCTGCCTCTGCCTCCCCAGTGCTGGGATTAAAGGCGTGCGCCACCACCGCCTGGAGACCGGACTTCAAAACAAGATAAGATTTTTCTCACGCTTCTCTCATTTTCTAACTCGTGACAAGTACAAGTTCTGACCAATGGGAACACAGCCTTCTCCAATGATTCCAAAACACACACTCCAACTTCTTAGTTTGGGACAGTTTTTTTAATGAAAGATGCTTCAACAGAGTATACTTGAATGTTGCCCATATCTTCATTCACCCCTAGTATCTTATTAGAGAACCCCATGTTCAGATTGCAATTTTTTTTTTTACTTAGACCATTGCCTAAGGAGATGGTGAGTGACTATTTTGATGAGCTATGGAGTTCTACTGACTAGGGATCTTTGTCCACCTAGAGAGTTCTGGTGTTTCCATTAGTTTTAAACTAGGTATCAAGCTTCATTGATGTCAAAATAGTGCTAAGGTTGTCCTTGCTAGTGCTTTTACTTTATACAGGCCTAAACACAGTTACAAAAACATGGGACCTGGGAGTGTGTGTAGTTCAGTGGTAGGGTACATGTTGGCACGCTAAAAGCCCTGCATTAATCCCCAGCACTAAAGACAGAAGCATAGCTGGGCAGGCTGTGGTGCATGCCTTTGCCTTTAATCCCAGCACTCCGGGGTCAGCGGCAGGCAGATCTCTGAGTTCAAGGCCAACCTGGTCTACAGAAGGAGTTTGGGACAGCCAGGGCTACACAGAGAAACCCTGCCTCAAAACACCAAAAACAAAAAACCAGAAGCACATTATTTATCTCAAAGGTTCAGGCAGTCCTTCTCCAATCCTCTCGAAAACTACT